TTCTAGTCTACCTTCTGCCTACCTCTGTCCTAGATCTTCTCATTATTTCTGCCAGATGTTAAGCAGAACAATCAGATGTTAATCAGGGTATTTCCCCCCTCCAAATGTGAAAATAGTATGTTAGTAAAAAAAACAGGTTAGACTCTACCTAATGCAAAAAAGTGGCCAGTCTAAGCTGTAGCACAGGATCAGAGAGAGGCTCATGATATCTGAGGAAAGAAGGGCATCATTTATTAGGAAGTTTCTGTTTTGCTTACAGGTCAAGGTAGTGCTGCTGCCTCCTCTTGGAAAACTGTCTCATGGTTCAAAAGTCCTCCCCCTGTTCTCCTTTCCCCTGGGAAACAGGGTAAATATTTACAACCGACCAGAGCTGAGGGGCTACCGTGGAGACAAAACCGGCCCCTCATTGCCATTTCCCTCAGCAGCACGGCGAGGAGGTGGAGATTGCGAAATGCGGAAAATGCGGAGACTGCTCACATTGTTTTTCTTGGTCGAGGCGGAGAAATCAACGGCAGACGGCGATTCACCGATTGCCAAGAATAAAATCAAGCATTGGTACACCATACATCCAATAGGCATGAAGGGACAAACTAGCCTGTGAACGAACATCTTATGTTGCCAAATCAATGGCTGGAAATGAACACCTCCAAAACACGGGAAGGCAATAAACCACCTTGAGCATCTCAAAAGTCTTGTCATATTTTGTATGTTCTCAAGTGGGTGCATATGTAAAAAAAAACCTGAATGCATTGGGGGGTTTTCTCACATGCATAGACTCTTGTATTTTATTGACAGTTAATGGTAACATGACATAACACTCATTGTGGTCATTGATGCACTGCAACATAACAAACAAAAATTGAAAGGGGACAAAATTGAATCTTATTGCAACTATGTAGTCATGTATTAGAGGTATCAAAGATACTAAAAATTAAATTGATAGAGTACTGATTAAAGTTATGTTTTAAAGGGGTACATTTTGTACATTTCTACTTATTGGCAGCCAAGAGGCTTCAGTTCAGTTAACATTCTTAGAGATCAACAGCAGATGACAAAAGTTTGAAGATTCTTGAGAATTTTATTTCCTTTAGGTCTTTTCATACTGGATTTTATATTGTGTGGTCTTTGATGCTCTCTGAGCTTGGTTGTTTTCTTGCAGATGTTTTATTACCAAACTAGGTAGCATCATCAGTGCTAGAAGGGAGAGGGGTTTGCTGTCATATACTAATGGCTTGTCCTGTTACTGTTGGTGGGAGTAGTTTTAGTGGTTCTTGATTAGACTGTTCTTTACTATTAGATTGTTTGTCTGCATTGGTAGCTTTTTGATTGGGATATTTACTTCTTCATTGTTAATCTAATGTTAATCTTGATGTTTAGTCTTGTTTCCTTTTTGGCTTTTTAATTGTCTCTTTTGAAATCACTAAGCTCAGGGAGCACTGAGGACCCTGCAGTTCAACCTGAGCTACAATATTCTCTTCTATCAGATTTTATATTGTCTCGTGGGACAAACAACTATCGCAATCACATGATTTCAAAGGCAGGATGAGGAGGATCAACAAATAGAGATTCACTCTAGAACCTATGGAGATGTGGCTGCACAAACCATCAAATATTTTAAAATGTATAGCTGTGTTTTATGAAGGCTCTTTTTGAATTGTTAAGATAATTATAACTTTTACCAGGCTCATATGTTACCACCACTGTGCGTAGGGGCCGGTGCACTGCAGTTGCTGCTGGATACTGTTGGCCCCCATGTGCTTGCTGCCTCTTCTGCGCATGCCAGGGAGCAGAAGATACCGTGTTTCCCCGAAAATAAGTCCTAATGCATCTTTTGGTGCAAAAAAAAAAGACCGGGTCTTATTTTCGGGGAAACATAGTATTACATTAATTGAAACACAACCCACCGGATTAGAAATTGAATTATGTTAATACCGGTAGTCCTCGATTTACAGCAGATCATTTAGTGACTGTTCAAAGTTACAACAGCACTGAAAAAAGTGACTTATGACCATTTTTCACACTTATGATCATTACAGCATCCTCAGGTTCACATGATTTATATTGAGATGCTTGACAACTGACTCACATTTATGACGGTTGCAGTGTCCCGGGATCATGTGATCACCTTTTGCGATCTTCTGACAAGAAAGTCAACGAGGAAACCAGATTCACTTAACAACCATGTTACTAGTAACAAATGCAATGATTCAGTTAACAATTGTGACAAGAAAAGTTGAGAAACATACATTTTGGGCTCAATTGTGGTCGTACGTTGTGGACTAACTGTGCAGAGATCTAATATTTCAGTAAATATCCAAACTACCGAACACACAAATTCACATTTCAATCCATTTTGTGACTGCAGGATTCTTACATTTTATTTCAGTTTTTATAAGAACAGCTAGGCAATTGCAAGTTGATTTGTAAATTTATATATTCTGGATATAAGATTTGTAGCTGTCAGGGACACAGAACAGGTGAGGGTTAAGAGACTGTGCCTTACTTGAGATTTTGGAATCCAAAGCATTTTATACCCATTTGGGTTAATCCACCTCAGGTATATATTAAGTCTCGAGCACAACAGTTCTTACATAAAGTTCTTAATTTTCTGGAAGAGAAGCTGAATTTGAAGATGCCAGCATGTGTTTCATGATTTAGATCAGGGGTAGGCAACCTTGGGTCTTTTATGACTCATGGACTTCAACTCCCAGAATTCAACTCCCAGAATGGCTGGCTCAGGAATTCTGGGAGTTGAAGTCCATGAGTCATAAAAGAGCCAAGGTTGCCTACCCCTGATTTAGATCCTGAACAGAGAATTGGATTAGAAGACCTCCAAGGTCCCCTCTGACTGTTATACTATCACTGAAAGATGGTACTTTAAAAAAATAAACAATAAACCATAGATTCCATCAACTCACAGGGGTCTTCTCTGTGGTTAAGGCTCAGTCAAGACATTTTGCTGCCTGAGGCACAGTAAAAAATATCCTATTCTCCCCCAGTTAAGATGCTCTTGAACCTAAATTAGGCACACATGGAGACCCTACCTCAAAATGTAACTTTCCATTTCTATCAGCAAAAACTGAGTGCTAAAAAAAAAACATTGTAGATAACAATTTGTTGCCCTTCTGTGACATTCAATATTTACCTTTCTAGGAAACTGCCTTGCTGATTTAACAGTAACACTAGGCCTGCCCGACGCCTGATCAATGCATGAGCTTCTCTATTCATTTTTAATTGGTTTTTGCATCCAATGCAAAATTTTACAAGCACCATTTTCTAGAAATCTCCTCACATCTACAGACCAGAAATAATGTGATTGTGAAGAAACCATTCTGCAGAAATTCTGTTGCAAAAAGGTTGTGTATACACAAGCATGTACTTATGTTGTGCATTTTTGTGGAAAGAGGGAAAGATACGCATGTATATCCTGAGGTCTACCAGAAGCAAAGAAGATATATTTCAAAATGGAAATGCATATATATATGTAACGTATATAAACGGTAACAGTATGTTTGCCTGACCAATGTACTGCTGAACCTATTTGTGCCTTCCTTTTTTCCCATACATTTTATTAGCCAAGCATTAACAGGGCTCCTCAGCCAAAAAATATGCCTACCTATGACATAAAATTCTCAAGACACATGGCTACAGTTGCAATGTACTTTGATCTCACTTGGGACTTGACAAAGACTGGTACATGGAGGCTGAACCATTAAAATTTTTGACAAGGTCTCTGATGATATTTTTGTTTGGATAAAATGAGCTAAAGAGTATTGTGGTCTAGAAGATTTGCAGTTGCTTGAATAATTGTGCTTGTTAAAAGTGCTGCATCACTCTAACAGAAATAATAACTGAAGTCCTGCAGGGCTCCATTGTCAGCCTGTGCTGGTCAACAAGTTTATAAATTATAAAGATAGAATGGAAAGGGATGGGATGGAATGAATACTTATTATATTTGTAGTTGATATTAAAGTAAGGTGACCAGCTAGCAATTTAGAGGGTAAAATCTTGATTTCAAATGATTCTGGCAGGCTGGACCAAATCCAGCAGGCTGATGTTCAATGGTGACAATATAATGCAATGTCTTTACCTATAAGATTCTCTTCCAACTCATCTCTCTCCTTCCTTTTCTCCTGCCCTGCCTCCCTAACACAATTTTCAAGCAGTTTCTTCTGACTGAAGTTTACTGCATTATGGACTGCTCCTACACAATTTATAAGTAGATGGAAATAAATAAGAAAGTAGTGGGGACCAGTTTATGGAATGCCAACTATGAGACATGGAAGCCTTTCCTCTTTACTTGCTGAGGCATTTCATTATTTTATAACTGGTTTTCATGTTATTATCTAGATCATACTGATAATACAGCCACTGTGTCTAATTACAATATGAGTGAATATTGTAATAATATAATTATATTAGACCTAGCTTTATAAAAACAAAAATATGATTATTCATTATGAAATATTAAGATTGGAACTAAACATTGGATTTATTTTATATCCAAGCTTTCCATTAAGAGCTCAAGTTTGCATAGATACCAGACCTTTTCTGCATTTTTCCCACAAGAAGCCTGTGGAATAAGTTGGACTGAGATAGAGAGACTGGCCAAGGATTCACTCACTGAATCATTGACAGAGGATGAATTTGAATCTAGGTCTCCCCTGTCCTAGTCTAATTACTACATCACTTGATTTTTACTAGTTTCTGAATAGGAGTCTACCTGGAAATCCTGGATTTTTGTGAAGAAAAGATGGGGAGCAAACTAGTTGGATAAAAATAACACTGTTGAGTCAGATATCAAACAGAACTAATATGTTTAAAATATGTATGAAGAGAAGGGAAAGAAGACATGATAGAATCTGATGACATCATAAAAGTGAATTCTTGGGGGGGGGGGAAACCAGCGGAATCTAAGAATTCCTAGTGAGCTTGAATATCTCCATCCATCAACCACTGATTCTCAGTCTGGCCAGCATCTGTCCCAAGGTTCTCTTTCCTACAGGTTTCCAGGAGTGTCGTTAAAGATTAGTGAGCAGATTCATGGATCAGAACAGATTCCATCCCTTATCAATTACTACATTACAAATGCTGTGAAAATTGTTAGGACCTTGAATATCAAGAGACATTAATATTAACAATATTGAGAGAATGAGAGTAAAGAGGTTGGCTGAGAGTGTGAATATATAAATCTGTTCAAACAAGGATGCTCTAGAAAAGTACTCTGTTCATGTATCAAAAGTATAACCCAATGCAACAGATACAAAAAAGTTTTGAGCAATCTCTGTTAAGAAATTAAGGCTGAGATTTCTGGAGATCAGGTAGGATGAAAAATTGTTTCCAGCAATCTTAGTCACCTGTTGTGTTTACTTGTATATTCTAATAGTTAAATCTCACCTAAACTCAGCTGCCTCTCATCAGTCCTTCCCTGGCTTGAGGAAGGTATCAGTTTCCAAACAATCTGGCTTCATAAACTAGCTCTCCTGAACTGTTCAGCTTGTCTCTCCTCTACATGTTGCCAGTAATCTCCATGTGGATTTAGCAAGAGAAGATTGTTTAAGCCGTACAATAAAACCAGGACCTGAGAAAAAGAGGCCTCATAGACTTCATCTTTTCAGATTTTGATGGAACAGAACTGTGCAAATAAGATGGCATGCTGTTACACACTGCCAGAGGACATTTTGCTTTTCCACAAAAAGACCGTACCAAAAAAACACAAGAATTCTTTATAAGTCTCACAAAAATATTTGGAAGGAAATACAGGATGCAAGACATATAGGCGAGATACAATCTGCATTTATACAGATCTCCTGGGCATTTGGAAGTAGCCTGCAGGATTTTTGTCATGGATTTCCCTCAGTGGTGGGATTTAAATATGTGAACAACTGGTTCTCTGTGTGGATGCCACTTCCGGAAGTCCATTCTGGGCCTGAGCAACAAAAAATTAGCTACCGGTTTTGCCAAACTGGTGCGAACTGGCTGAATCCCACTACTGATTTCCCTACATATTCTCTGAAAATCATAATATTTTCTAAGAGTATTAAGGACTATGTCATGGATTTCAGTGATATTATATCATGAATACAAAATGAGAATATATTTCTCTGGATTGCTTGCAATGTTAGAAGGGCTTCTGTGACATGTCCCTCACTCATATAGCATTAGGTGTTGTATCTGTAACTTATAAAAAATATATTATAGTTTTACTTTACTCCGATGGTAAATTCACTTGAGAACTTGAAATATGAACTATATTTTTATAACCTTTTTTATTCATCCCATTCTGTAAAAAAAAAAACTAATATGAAGGACCAAAAAAACTATTCTTAGTTTTGCTAAGAATGATCAGTCTCTAAACCTGATGGGAATATTACACATTATTAACAATGCTGACAAATATTATGTCAGTTAATGTTTCTTTGGTCTACAAAGAAACAAATCACTTTGCATTAAAAAAAATTCTGTGCTATTATATTTGGTCCTGAAATGACATATATTTACTATTCTTTTATTTATATAATTTTTACCTTAGTTTCCAGCAAAAGTATTTACCAAGCAGGTTCTGTTTGTTTATCTAACCACACATTAAAGCAACCCTAATGGGAGCTGAAAACAATTTCCTCCTTTTCCTCAATGTTGAATATTTCTTCTATAGGATTGATCAGATATCCTGAGTCTCTTCCTCAATCAAATAGTGATTAAAAGCACAGCAGTTACAAGTCCCTGAGACAATAAATGCATTTTTAAAAGTTTGGCTTCTTTTCCCCTTTTTTTTATTTCCCAGTGATTTTCTGATCCAGGACATCAAAGAGGCATAGTGCAAGATTATGGAGAAAGTTGCACTTGTAGTAGACAATGGCAGCAGTTTCTGTCGGTCAGGCTTTGCAGGTGAAGAAAAGCCAAGAATTGTGATGAAAACTGCATCTCTTCCTCCTATCTATCATCCTGTCTGTTCTCTCAATGATGAAAAATTGCAAACTCAGCCACTAAAGCATGGCATTATACTAGATTGGCAAGCCATGGAGAACTTATGGAGCCATCTCTTTTTTTGTGGGTTGCAAGTTTCCACTGAGGACCATCCGATATTAACAAGTGATTCCCCTTCCTGTCCGACCACCAACAGAGAGAAGATGGCAGAGGTATTTTTTGAAGGGTTTAGTGTCCCAGCTTTGTATGTGGCCAATACAGGGTTCCTCTCACTCTGTTACTGTGGTAGAATTACTGGACTGGCTATAGAAGCTGGGGCAGGGATTTCCCATGTTACTCCAATATACTCTGGACAAACATGTATGGAAGGTATCTATCGATTGGATGTGGCTGGAAATGGTCTCTGCAAATACATGCATAACTTGCTGCTGAACAGCTCGAACAATCTATATCTTCTTAGCACCTTGAACAAAAAGATGGTAACACAACTTAAGAAAAACTACTGCTATGTGTCTATGGACTACAAAAGGGATCTCCAAGAGAAAACTTGCCACGAACCTGTGAGCATTGAGACCCCTGATGGGCACTTGTTAACTTTAGACAAAGAACGCTTTTGCTGCCCAGAGCCATTGTTCAAGCCCCATCTGCTCAACCAGAGCTCTCTAGGACTTCATCATTTGGTCTTCCAAAGTCTGCAGAAGGTTCCAGATAAGTTCAAAGGAGAAGTCATTAATAATATTGTGTTGTCAGGAGGTTCTTCATTGTTTCCTGGTTTTCCAGAGAGGATGTGCTTGGAACTGAATGCTTTATTCCATGGTAGAGAGTACTTTATTAAAATTCTGGCTTCCCCCAAAAGAGGTACAGCAGTTTGGCTTGGGGGTTCCTTGGCAGCCTCACTCAGTTCTTTCCAAAGCTTGTGGATGAGAAAACAAGACTATCAAGAGCATGGAGCAGCATATGTGCACAAGAAATTTAAGTAGGTTAAGATATGTTTCAATGACATTCAGACTATCATCCTAGTCATTAGAATAGAGCTACAGTATATAGCAAGACATTAATGGGGAAGAGAATAAGAACACAGTTTGCTCTCTATTTGTGACTGTATTTTCTATCCAACCAAAATTTTAATGATTTCAGTTCTAAATATTAATATGATCAGAGAGAAATCTATGGACAAAATAACTTCTATGCTGTCAATATTCAGAGAAGTATAATTTATTGCAATATTATTGTGTTAATATATTATGCAGTAGGTTGAAAAAGAAGTATCCAACAAGAAACAAACTATTAACCCCAAAGCTACCTGAATATATTACTCTTTCATAATAGCAAGGAAATTCCTTGCAGGAGAAAACCCTTAGCTACCTTCATACTTGAATGGACGCTCCTCCAATACAAAAAAGTGTAAATATTAAATATTAAATATATAAATTTATAGCACATTCTCATTATTTCAAGAAAAATAATCAGTACAATTATGTGAAATCACACATTGGTATAGAATTAATGTAAATTAACATAGGATATAGATTTAGCTTCATTTAAATATTTTTTATTATATGCTAGTTTAAGTTCCAGAACAGCAATATTCGGCTACTGCAATCCAGATGTGTTGGATTACAATTTTCACAATATGTAGCTATGCTTTAGGCCACTGAGTTTGAAAAACAATGTTTTAATCTTTAGTCTTTCTGATTCATTCTATTTACAGTATATTCCAAAGTTTGCTTTTCAGAATAATGGGATATTCTCATACATGTAGTCTTTAATCAGGTCAAACAAATGATTATCCTACTCAAATAGGAAGGACGTTACTCAGATATGACTTTTGTGTCATGCCTATTTTATAGAAGAATTTCATCAGAAGAAACATCAAGAATCTGTTATTCTTTCATTTTCAATCTAGTTTGAGACTATCTGAAACAGTATTATTGGGTTTGGAATTGTTTTATCTCCCATTTGAGTTGATCTGTGATCCAGAGAATTAGGAGGAATGTTAAACATTTCAGATAATCAGAACAGATAATCTTCCATCAAAGTTTGAATACATATCATTGTCATTTCTGGAGTAGAATACAAATGTTATTTAACTGGTCTTTTAAAGCAGGCCCACCAATAGCCTTTTCAATTCCCAGAAGCAACTCTGATAGACAGCTTTGGAACTTACTATATGTTATTTTGGGGTTTGGGGGGATGGAGCTGGCTTTGGTTTAAAAAGCAAAATAGGTACTTTTAAATGTTGCCATTTGAAGATGCTTGGGAAAATAGAAAGCTAGAAAATTGAGATCTTGGCCCCTTTGGAAACACAACCTTCAGCTTGCTGTGTAAAACCTAATGTGATTCATTACCAACAAATGCAATGTATGTAATTATGAACATTTTTCCTACCCCATTTACCAAATAAAACTGGGGTGTTGGCATCTTTGTTCTTTTTTCATTATGATTGGTTTCTCTTTTTGTGGTCAAGGACTGCATCTGGTCTTTGAATTGTGTGTCAATGTCTGCAGCAGAAAATATGGCAAGGCCCAAGAAAAAAAATGTGTAGGACCAAAACCTAAAACTGATTTAATTTAAATAAAATCCGTATAACTGATAATTGTCCATGTAATTGCTATTCATTTATGAAACAATTTAATTTTCCCATTATATTATAAATTATGACTCAGTAGCAACATTTAGAGAATTATGGAATTTATACCAACAGGCTGGGAAACCATATAGAGCTCTGAATTCATAGGTGGTACATTCCTGTTCCAGGTCCATCTGAAAGATCAAATTTATGGCAAGCTAACATTCTACAATAACTTTCCATTTGGATTCCACAACTATACAGTATGTGTTATTGCTGTCTAATTGAGTCCACATTATTTTTTTTTCATTGATAGAATCTATCTGGAATCCACACATCTATCCTTTTCTATCTGTAGTAACCCTCTACAACTCAGTATTCTGAAAGCCATTCTCTTTCTTCTGCTGTCCAATTCATGTTTTCTGAAATAAGCCTATACCTTAGTAGTTGTGCTTAGGAGTACAAAAAGGAACCTGGGCCTTAGGTGTATGAGAGCAATTTGAAATAGAAAATTGATCCATTTTATACACTTATAAAATTTTGGATATTCTAAATGACCCAAAGGTGCTTAGCTAATTGCCTCTGTGAAGCCTTGTCCCAGGTTGGAACAAATTAAATGAATTTTTCCCTTAATTGATCTCTGGAATACACATTCCCATGAGCACAATAAAGGCTTGGAATGTCCATTACATTGCACCAAGTATATTCAAAAGTAGGTAAAGGAAGCTAATTAAAGCCATCCATAAGAATAATATTGGAAAGAAACTCACACTTACCAATTTGGTTTTATCCATAGCTGATAAGACAGCCGTGTTGAGTTGCTCCAGAGCAGACAAAACATGTCTGTATTCTCCAAGATGTTCTGAGAAATAATCTGCAGCAGAAAGGAGGAAAATACTTTTGTTACTGCACTCTGCCACACAACCACCCATTCCATTGGCAAGTCTTTCTCACAATATTTTAAATACAACTTACAATTTTTCTACTCCGTCCTCCCAGCTCAGAAAAATTCGGAGCTTTCAGGGAGCACTTTCAGGCAATCACTATAATACTGAATTAAGTCAATAGCTGAGCACTGATAAATGACAGCCAAGGCTCCAGCTTCTTGCTGAGTTTATTTCCCTCTTGTGAGGTTTTCCCAAGGTCCCATGAATTAACAAACAACCACTCTCTCATCATGAAAAAAGAAGCAAGAAGTTTTCTCTTCAGCATAGCACAAATTTAGCACACTCTGTGAAGTATGTTTGCTAGTACTACAGAAGCATTCAAAGGCTTCTTTTTTTAAGCTGGGCTGAGTGAAACACAGCTAGGAGGCAAACAGTCTGTAGTTCATCCTGTGAGAAAGCAGAATTTGACTAACACAGGGTGAACCTGGTTAGAATAAAAGTTTCATCAGGAATTAAAGCACCAAAAAATCTCTGGTTTTCACAGCATGGTAAGAGGGAGAGTGTTTCAGATTTTGCAGGGCATTACCCTGGTTGGCTGTCAATAGTTTACAACTGGTAGAGCCTGTATAATAAAATGGTCATGCAGAAAGGCTCATTAATTCAAAAACAGCATGCCATTTTATCCTCATGGTTTTAAAACAATATGACCACAATTGAGCCCCAAATTTCTATTGTTAAGTCAAGTATTTGTTAAGTGAGTTTTGCCCTACTTTAGGACCTTCCTTGCCACTGTTGTTAAGCGAATTACTGCAGTTAAGTTAATAATATACTGTAGTTGTTCTGGCTTCCCCATTGACTTTACTTGTCAGAAGATCACAAAAGGTGATCACATGATCCCGTCATGAATAGGAACTAGTTGCCAAGCATCTGAATTTTGATCACTGACCAGGAGGATGCTGCAAAGGTCGTAAGTGTGAAAAATGATCATAACTCACTTTTTTTCCATATCGTTGTAACTTCAAACAGTCACTAAATGAACTGTTGTAAGTAGAGGACTACCTGTATTGCATACCTGGGCATTTTATGGCCCACAGACCACATCCTTCAGCTATCCCTCTCTGGCCCACAGTGTTGGCATTGTTGTTGGCAGGGGTGGGATGCTGGGGGCAGGGCCATGGCAGCAGCCCTCCATAACAGTCCCAGTTTCTCACGTGGCTCCTTGGGAGGATTAATTGCCCACCCTTATTATTTATTATCTGTTAGATAGTAGATAATGCTCCATTATCATATAATCTGTGTTTCAAGATCACAATCAATTTCTGTGGCATTAGAGAATAGTACAGGGCAGGTTCATAAATATGGCACTTTTTGAATGTGTCACAACTGAAACTCCTAAAATAACTTTGGCCAATGTGTTTGAAATTTTGGCAGAAATGGTCCAAGCACTTCTCTAGGGCACCATACTAGAGGAAAGAACAAGCTTTTTGTCCAATGCAGAGAAGAGAAATAGATCGCATCTAAGAAGGGCAAAAAATCCCACCCCCAGATATATTAAGGAAAGTTGGGAAGTATATATTCCACAGCAAGAGTACCCGTTGAGTACTTACCACACAACTTCTCCGTCTCTAAATTGCTGTAGAAACACACATAAAAAAGAAAAAAATATTTGTATGAGTTGATTAATAAGAGCTTGAGGGAAACAGTTTCTGAAAGAAGCAAAATGGAAATTGTCAATTAAGGTTGCTGACTTACCTTCATTTCAAGATTATAGAAATAGCATTATTTGAGGTCTTTCAAAATATGTCATATGGTAGGCTTAAGTATTTTTCTGTTTAAATCTATAAAATTTTGCAATATATAATTTTAAACATTGGTCTTATGGAGGTGCTATTCAGACAATGTATCTTGCAATTACTATACTGTACTACAAAATAGGGTAAGTCTAAATGGGCCCTGGGGAAGCCCTGAAGTTATGGCACCTCTGATTCAACATTGTCTCTGCCAATTAGAGTTGTGATCTAGAGTTCAGAGAAGAAAAGGGACAGGGGAACACATGGTCAGAAGTCCTGCTTCTAGAAGGGATGCTTAAAAAATGTGTATGTGTGTGTGTGTGTGTGTGTGGGAGAGAGAGAGAGAGAGAGAGAGAGAGAGAGAGAGAGAGAGAGAGAGAAGAAAGGGAGTATCTGCAGATATTGCTTGGCACACAGACTTTAGGCCATCATGCTCTCCATCACCAGTTCTATTTCTGTGTAAATAAGATGGGATCAGTAGATAGAGGGGAGATAGGAAGGAAGCAGAACAAATGAGGCTGATTGTCATGTTGAAATTCCCTTTTCTAAACACATAGGACAGTTTTTTCTCATGATAGGGAAACTGTCTGTAAAACACATGCTCTCTTAAAGTACTTCTCCTATGAACCTTGCTGCTGCTGATGGTGATGATGATGAAATAATAATAATAATAGTAATAGTAATAGTAATAATAATAGATGGACCACTTGGTAAGCTGTTGCAAGAAGATTGCACAGACTGATTACAAGCAGCGGCATGACAAAGTAGCAACAATGGTGCATTGGAAGATCTGCAAAAAATATCATTTGCCCGTAAGCAAAAACTGGTGGGATCATAAAATAGAGAAAGTCATAGAAAATGATAAAATTAAACTGCTCTTGGACTTCAGAATTCAAACAGACAAGCACCTGCAACATAACACCCCAGACTTAACAATTGTCGATAAGAAAGACAAAAAAGTCTGGATAGTGGGACGTGGCAGTGCCTGGAGACAGCAGAATAGACGAGAAAGAACTGGAGAAGATAACAAAATACAAAGAACTACAAATAGAAATAGAAAGACTGTGGCAAAAGCAAGCAAGGGTAGTACCAATAGTGATAGGCTCCTTGGGTGCAATCCCAAAACAACTGGGGCACCATTTGAACACCATTGGCATTGACAAATTCGCTATTAGTCAATTACAAAAGGCGGCCTTGCTAGGAACTGCTTCCATCCTGCGACGATACCTGTAATACCATCAAACATCCACATCTGCCTATCCCAGGTCCTGGGTAAGGACTCGATAGGTAGACAAAATGCCAAATCCAATCTGAACATCTGGCTGACTGTGCGATGATCCATAATAATAATAATAATAATAATAATAATAATAATAATAATAATAATAATAATAATAAAGTTGGAAGGGACCTTGGAAGTCATCTAGTCCAAACCCCTGCTCAGACAGGAAACCCTATACCATTTCAGACAAATGGCTGTCCAGTCTCTTCTTAAAAACTTTCCAATGTTGGAGCATTCACAGCTTCTGGAGGCAGGTTGTTCCATTGATTAATTGTTCTAACTGTCAGGAAGTTTCTCCTTAGTTCTAGGTTGCTTCTCTCCTTGATTAGTTTCTATCCATTGCTTCTTGTCCTGCCTTCAGACACTTTGGAGAATAGCTTGACTCCCTCTTCTTTGTGGCAACCTCTGAGATATTGGAACACTGCTATCATGTCACCCCTAGTCCTTCTCTTCATTAAACTAGACATACCCAATTCCACCAACCGTTCCATATATGTTTTAGCCTCCAGTCCACTAATCATCTTTGTTGCTCTTCTCTGTACTCTTTCTAAAATCTTAACATTTTTTTTACATCGTGGTGACCAAAACTGGATACAGTATTCCAAGTGTGGATTTACCAGGGCACTGTAAAGTGGTATTAACACTTCACATGCTCTTGATTCTATCCCTTTGTTAATGCAGCCTAGCACTGTGTTGGCTTTTTTGGCAGCTGCAGCACACTGCTGGCTCATATTTAAGTGACTGTCCACTAGGACTCTGAGATCCCTCTCACAGTTGCTATTATTGAGCAAGGTACCCCCTATACTATACCTGTGCATTTGGTTTCACTTGCCTAAATGTAGAACCTTTAGGAAATATTTACTCAAAAGAAAGCCCATTGAGTTCTCTGAGATGTTTTTTTTGGGGGGGGGGATAGATAAGTAAATAGAGGATTCCGTACAGTACTCTCTTTTTCTCATTCTGCATACTGTTTCAGAGTTCTCTTATAGGAGACAATTCTTTTCTAAGTTTTCAGTGGCCACATTGTAAGTTTCCCACAGTGTCACATTTGGCTTTCTGTTACAGTAATAATCCTGTGCCATCTGTTTCACTGAAAATAGACGCTTTTCATAGACCAACATTTTTTAAAAAAAATAGTGAGAAAGAATATTAAAGAAGAATTATATTTCAGTGCAAAAACAATCACAAACAATGGAGGAACCAAGATGGCGACTACTTCTGGCTCAACCCAACACCCTCCAAATACATTCAAGACAAGAAAAGAACCCACATCAGCCCCTGCAACATTACTGGAATCTACCCTGAAATCTAACAAGGCATAAAAACAGATGGAGACCAACTCTTTCTTCCCCACCATAGAGGAACTAAAAACGTGAGCAATGGATCTACACCCCCAGGAACCTTTTACCCACAAAGACTATAATAGTGCAGCACCCATTTACTTCCTCAGCTCTCCAAAGACTCTGCCCAAATTATCCCTGGAACAGTGAGAAAACCTCCTGGAACAAGCTCCTGGTGCCCCCCCCCAAATAACAACTGTATCACTAATGCTTCCAAAGAGGCTTGCCTTCTGCCTGCAGAAAGATTAATTTTTATATTACAATAATTAAATGAAATTGTACCCAAGTTAGACAGCCTCCAGCAAACATTGAATCTACAAATTCCCCAAAGCAATCTAGGAATTAATATGACAGCAGAGGTCAGTCATGTCAACCCTCCATGAGCCAATGTCTCCAGGTATCTGAAAGTATTTAATTAACCACTGTTCTGTGCTTCAAAATTGTGCCCTAATGTACAGCCTTTATATGATATACCACTGAAAATAGACTAATTGCAGGCCATGGCTACAATCTAATACCCAGTTACCTGAGAGTAAACTCCCTTGAACACTGTGGCTACTGCTAAGGAGGATCAATTCAATTGTGCTGTTATGCTTAATTTGATTAATGCATCACAACATGGAAAGCCACTATGATTAAGGAAATTAGCAGCTTTAAAGCAGGTAGTGGTAGACAGAGATGGAAGTGGGATCTGCTAATTAATCAGTTTCTGGGTGGCTTTTCGTGTATGGCAACCTTTGTCTTCTGAATACACTATTATTTTTTTTAATCTTAGATGCTAAACTTTCAGGATTTATGATACCATTTTAAAAAAAGCATTTAAGGTTTTTGAAGGCTTCTTTGCAGCTAAAGATCTGTAAATGTGTGAATGACCACACTGCCTAAAAACATATTGCTTCCTGTTTCCACAAGGAAGCCAGCTGTATTTTGTACTTACTGAACCCTTTTTATCTTCTGAATTTGTAACAAACATTAACTAATTAATAATTAAAATGCTGAATAATTTATTGCTAAGGCAAACCTCAAGAAAACCAAGCTGCTGTAAAACGGAATGCTGACTGCATAGTTTGCAGAACAGAAATATTATGCTTTAATTGTTCTTTGAGTAATACATTACAGCAGTATGTTGCTTATACAAAGTGCTTTATGGTGTATTAATTCTATTCAGCCAAATTTTCCATGAACAACTTTAGGAGCAAATACAAAAAGAATGTAATGGCACTAGTCATTTTCAAGTTGTTTTGCCAACATCAAATTGTGCTTCTTTTAACCTCTGGAAGGCATGGCAGTATACAATGGGATAATGGTACTAATCATCATTATGATGCTGATGGTAATTTAGCATTCATACAAAATAGCGCTCAAAACTCTTCAAGAAAATTTTATTGTATTGTTTACACAACTCAATAAAGATGTTCTTTGTTTTTATTCTTGCATTTCCAATGAAAGGCTGTAAGACTGAATGACATTGAATGGATAAGATCACTGTCAGCTGGGGTAAGATGTGATTTGTAAGATTAGCAGCAATATACTTATCCCCTGCTATCTGTCCCTACAGGGTACCTACCCTGTAAAGAATCCAGAACTGAGATAGGAGACAAGAAAAATAACATCCACAACATCACTCCACCAAAGAAGGTCCCCTCTTGGGCCCTGTGTGGTATACCTTCTTTTTCCTGCTTTGTTTTGGCACAAATTGTCATGCAGATAAATGGTCTTTTAAGCTGAGGTTTGCAGAAGTACTTTTTAGTGATAAATTTGGAACATTTCCCCCCCAAAATTAACAATACTTTCATTACATGTTCCAATAGATGTATTTATCTTTGCATGCTACAGAGAGATGATCGGGACAAAAGAGCAGGATTAAGAAATTCAATTAGTTTACTTTGTGATTTGTACATCAAATTAGTAACACTTGAATCTTTGTTGCATTGATTTCATTTATCTCCCATGCTTCCTCTAGAGATCCAAAGAAGGTATAATTGTTTCTCCCTGCAGTTTACCTTCTCACTCAGCATAGGATAATGAGAAAGTGCACTGTAAATAATCTCAAAAAGTAGTTACCACAGTACAGAACCATCTTGTTCATGAATTATCATGGTGTCTATGGCTAACTACAAAACATATATTTACCAAACAAATTGCCCAAAAGGCAGAAATCTAATTACTGGACACATTTCTAAAAGAAAACATTGTTTAAATGAATGTTTATAAAGCACAA